TAAACCTTAAACCCTAAACCCAGGGTCTGGGGTTTAGGGCTGAGGAGCTTCGGGGTTTCGGGGTTTTGCTATGTTCTTTTAGGGTTGCAAACGGGTCTTAGGGGTTCGAAGGGCTCCATGGGCTTTAAGATGCTTTTAGGGTTTAGGGTCTAGGGTATTGGGCTAAAGGGGTTTTGTTCTGTGCTGTGAGGGGGTGTCACGGTTTTTTAGTTTCTGGGCTTAGGGTAGGGCTCTATCTATACTATACAAGTTTCTATGAGGCAGGTTGGGATCTATTGTCGAGCTTTTCGACTTCATTGGTCGAAGTCTAAGTCCTAGGTAGGGTAAATGGTTCTGCAGGTCAGGATTTTCTTGGAGGATCATGGGACTTAGTAAGTAAGGTTACAAGTCCCCTAATTGGGGTTATAAGTATAGTTACTGTAGTTATAATATTACTTACTAAGTCCCATGATCCTTTAAGTAGGGCTGGTGTAGGGGGAAGGGCTAGGGGTTGGATGAAAGCACCTAAACCCTAAACCCTAAACCCTAAACCCTAAACCCTAAACCCTAAAGCTCCGCCCCCCCTCGGCAGGTGCTGCCAAGGAGATTCGTCGACCCACGCGGATTGCTGGGATGACCTCTACAGCTACGAGGATCAGCTTGGTGTGCTTATAGGCTGCGTAGGATTCCTTAGTGGAGGAGCTGTACTTGGAGCGTACTGACGTCTTTCAATGCTCTGCCCGAGCCCGAAACCCTGAGCCCCTTTTAGGACCAGGGAGCTTGTTTGGAAAGGAGTGCTGCCCCAACGCGGATTGCTGGGACGGCAGCAAGTTCACTTATGCACACTGTCCGCGCCCAAGCTTGTTGCAGCACCTCGAGTTGCGGCTTTAGGTTTCATGGTTTAGGTTGAACCGACTTGTAAGTATTGGGTTCCTGTCCTTGAGCTTAGCATGAGAAGGCAGGGCACGTACACATCCAAACAACAAAGGGCCTTCACGAAGACCCGATAAGGAAAGTTCAACTTGGCGGTTAACATTGCGAGCACCGTCAGGAGTATCGTGCACATGCAACGCAGAGATCGAGCAAGGTTGCGTTGTCGAGTATTTATCTGTCTTTGTATCTATGTATGCATGTATGTATGTATATATGTATGCATGTATGTATGCATGTGCGTATGCGTGCTTGTATGTCTGTCTGTCTGTCTGTCTGTCTGTCTGTCTGTCTGTCTGTATGTATGTATGTATGTATGTATGTATGTATGTATGTATTGTACTACGTATGTATGTATGTATGTATGTACGTATGTATGTCTATATGGTTGTGTTTGTTTGTGCCAGTTTGTGCGTTGTTGTTTCAGCGGCATCGGTATTTGTTTAAAGGATTTGCGAGGGTCAAGAGCTTCTGCAGTCTTACACTATTTTAATGGTTGGACAAGCGCTTTCTAAGGGGCTTAGGGGCCAAGGCTAACTGTCTTGAGTTTGGGCATTGGGTTTTAGAGTTGTAGGCTTAGAGTTTAGGATATACCTTAGCTGCCCAAGCCCTGTCTTTTCAGAACTTGCAGGGAGAAATCAAAATAAGGAGCCCTGTCATGTAGCTTCTGTATTTAAGGGATCATGGGACTTAGTAAGTAGGGTTATAACTGAGGTAACTATATTTAGCTTCTGTACTTAAAGGATCATGGGACTTAGTAAGTAGGGTTATAACTGCGGTAACTATACTTATAACCCCAATTAGGCGACTCTATACTTACTAAGTCCCATGATCCTCCAAGTAAGGTTCAGATAACTGCGAAGCACAGGCGCTCACTGGTGAGGATCCTGGGGCTCAATCTGTAGGAGATGGATTGAAGTGAAGACGGTTTAGGGTTTAGGGTTCCTGGGTTCCCCAGTAGCACTCTTTTGCCCTTTTTCTTTTTAGGTTCCCCCCAAAAAAGCAAATAGAAGGAAAAAGGGTACCCTTATTAATAAGGGGCTACTGGGGAACCTAACACCACTGTAACACCGCTGATGAATAAACCCCGTTCCCTTAAACAGGGTCATGGTAGCGGTCCAAACTTTCATGCGATTGGAGAGACAGGGTTTGTTGATCAGGGGAACACATAACCCCTAACTAATTCTCATACCGACTACGGTATGCAAAGCCCGACGGAGGAGGACCATGAAACGAAAAGCCGAGACGGAGACAATGACGAGGCAGGACCGCGCGACCCAGACAGTGGAAGCGGTGCTGGTAAGGCGGTGCGTGAGAACCTTCTCTTCAACTTCAACCCGAAGGAGCCCATCCCGACGGATGAGGAACTTGGCGAGTTCAGTGCCTTCTTTTTGGAAAAGGGCGAGGTGAACGACGTTTTGGACATTGCCTGTGTGATGGAGTTGATGGGTGATGTCATCTCGGCTTACCAGAAGGCACAGAAGGTCTTGAAGGGCATTGTCTCTACCTACAAAGCCAAGATGAAGAAGGAGGAAAGCAAGAAGCTTCTTTTCGAGAAGCGCGAAGCTCAGAAGAAAGAGAAGGAGACAGAACGGGCAAGGACAATCAACCTCAACTTCGTCTTGGACAAGCGCTTCACAATTGCCTTCACAAAAGATGTAACCATCAAGGACTAAGATCTTTCCTGGAGCACTCAAGTAGGCAACGAGCCCCTAAATCCTGAGTCCTCACTCTTGCAGTCCAACGTCTTTAACTTAGGTTTTAGGGTTTAGGGCTTCAACCCACCTGAACCCTAAACCTTGTGTCATGGACCCCAAACCCTAGGGTCCTTCCGTAGACCCGAAACTGCTGCAGTCTACACTCTGGACGCTGAACCACACAATTGGTGTAGGGTTTAGGGTCCATAGGGTTTAGGGTTTCGGGTTTAGGGTTCAGGGTTCGCCAACCAGCAAGAGCAAGATACCACCCTTGTGAGACTCTATGAGGTTACGAGACAGCTTGAGAGCCAGAATCTCAACACCTCCCTCTGGGTCCCTTGAAGAACCCGTGTATAGAGCCTTATAGAACCCTACTACAGGCCTGATATTTCCTTCGAAGAACCCTTTTGTAAACCCTAAACCCAAGTAGGTTCATGGGTAGTTATTCAGTCTACGAATGTGGGGTTATAAATATAACTGCCCTACTTCTATCCACCCATGAACCTCCAAGTAATTCCTGGACCCTAAACTCTAAACCCTAATTCCTGAACCCTAAACCCTAATTCCTGAACCCTAACCCCGGCTCCCTTTTGAAACCTTGTGCCGTCCATGAGCCCACCCACAGGCTGCGACCTGCAGCATGGACCGACCGGGCACGAGGGCTTCTGGGCTGACCAGAGTCTTGTGTTGTTTCGTCAAGAGTTTAGGGGCTAGGATTTCTAGGGTTTAAGAGGATTTAGGGTTTGGGATTTAGGTTTAGGGTGTATGGTTTGGGGCTTAGGGCTTAGGGTTTAGGGTTTTAGAGTTCTAGGGTTTAGGGTTTAGGGCTTAGGACCTCAGAGTGCACCTTTGGGGTTTTCGGGTTTGTGGTTTCTGGTTCCAAAGTTAGGGTTTAGGGTTTCAGGTTCCAAATCCTAACCCAACATCCTAAACTTTAAGCCGTAGCTTTACTAACCTGTACAAACCCTATATAAATACATTATCAGCCCTATGTGCCCCTTCTATTCTAAATCCTATACAAGCCCTTAGTAATATGAACCATATGCAAACCCTAGACCCTTTAGAAACCCTAAACCCTCTATGACTCTAAGCAACCGTAGCTTTACTAACCATGACATTACCCAAGCCCTAAACCCTAAACCTGTATTACCCCTAAAACCTAAACCCTAAAACCCCCAAACCCTAAACCCTAAACTCTAAAACCCTAAAGGCTAAAACCCCTAAACCCTAAACCCTAAACTCTAAAACCCTAAACCCTAAAACCCCTAAACCCTAAACCCCAAACCCTAAAACCCTAAACCCTAAACCTGTATTACACTAGGCCTTCCTGGTCTCATGGAGTCAAGGCTCCGCTTCGCGGCCTGCTGCTGTTTCTCCAGGAGCGCCTTCCTCACCGGGTACTAGAGTAGATTCTTAATATACGGTTACGCATATAAAACTAAACTACTAATGTATCTATTAATATATGGTTACGCATATAGAACTAAACTACTAATGTATTATTCAAACAAAAATTAACATACGGATATTAATACAACGCTAAACTACTAATGTACTGTTTATACACCAGTAATAGATTTTTAAGTTAGTAAGTATTGATTTACGGTTAGAATACTCTAAACATAGCATGAATATATTACTGATCCATTACAAATATTCCTAATAATATACTGCTCAAGTACAACGAATATACCATGTTGTTAATATACCATTAACATGCACTGAAATATACTACATAAATTGAATGTAACATCAATATACTATACTGCAAATACACTGTCAATATACTGTTCATATAGTTTATCTATTTCAAGAATATACATACACCATGCCATACTATGATATACTATAATACTAGACTGTAATATCCTAGAACTCATATACTGTAACAAACTATGATCTACTAAACTACACTGTAGCATACCTCAACCCTGAACCCTAAACCCTAAACCCTGTAGCATACCATAATATCTACTATAAGGGTTTCAAGGCTCCGGTCTAGGGTTTAGGAGGGTTTAGGGCAAAGGGCTTCGGGTGTAAAAGTTGAGGTTCAGGGTTTAGGGTTTAGGGTTTAGGGCCCTAAACCCTAAACCCCAAGCCCTAAACCCTACGTTTAGGGTTCCTGCTTTGGGTCTTGCAGTATTTGTGTGGTTTTGTGCTTTTGCTTTCAGGCTTTGGAGCCCCTTCTTGTGGCTCCTTTATAGGGATCGTACACTACTGCTCCACAATAACCCAAAATGAAGTAAGACTGCCTGGGCTCTCGTGGAACAGGTTCCTCACTTGTTTCGTTGCGGCTCCGGACCATCAAATCAGATGATTTAGACCCTAGGAGGCTTTAGGCTTTAGGGTTTAGGGTCGTCTGTCATGGGAATGCAAATTGTGAAGTTCGCCTCGGTAAGGAAGTTTTACAACCTTGTTTCAGTTGGGTGTGCTCGAAGTCTTCATTCTTCTTTGACACGCTGATGCTCCGTCCAGATGCCTCGCGGCGTCAAGCTGAGGCTGATCCCCGATGAGCCGAGGTTGGCCTGCATCTCTGCCAGGATGCCCAGTGAGGCGAGGTTGGCCTCCATCTCCCTGGGGCCATCGTAACATCCACTCTGTCCGCGGTACCACTCTAATTGGAGTATGCGCTCGATGGCCGCTCGGAGCTGCCTGTCGCTCAGGCGAGGACAATGAGCCTGGAGGCTCATTTCCAGTCTCTCCTTGTCCGAGAACCGGTCCTGCGGGATCACCACCTGTGGTCGCCCCCTGGCTTGCCATGAACTCATCATACGGGAGTGGCCCGAACTCATCAGATGGCCACTGGTTGCGCCGCGGCTGCAGAGGAACATAGTTCGTTGTATTGCCGTTGGCAATGTTTCAGGGGCAAGCGCTCGGACCATGCCCCCTGGGGGGCCACGTAGGGTGGAACCCACGAGAACCCCAGTACTTGGGTTTAAGGTTTAGGGTCTAGGTGCGTTCTTGTGGCAGATTTGTTCCAAGATGCGGGTCGCTACAGGTTCATTGGCCAGGCTTTGGGCAATCCTAGGGCAGCTAGCTCTGATTACTACGGCTTGTGCATGACATCTGCTGTTGGGGGATCGGGGAGTTTGGATCAGGCTTTGAGGGCTTCATATAGGGGCCTTGATACTTAATAATTACCTATACTGTTTGGGCAGGCTCCTTATTTAATAGTTATATGGTATAGTATACCCCAAAACCCTGTTCTAATTATGAAGGCCCCTTCGTTAGGGACTGTCTTGTTTAGAGAGTCTGAGGTGGCCCAGTATTGAGCCACTCAAACAATGCTGCAAAACCTTTAAAACCCTGGAAAGACCTGTCAAGATGCCCTAAACCCTGAACCCCTGCGGAAGCCCTATCGACCCCAAGAAAACCTAAACCCTCATCCCTACCACCCCAAACCTAAGACCCTAGACCCTGAAACCGGTTCGCCTCCGCCCGCGCAGCCCACGGAAGCGGTGCTGAATGGCCAGCGCGGCGCGCTGGCGCCGAGAAGAAGAGCTGGAGTGCCAGGCCTTTTGGGAAGGGTTAGGACGATTAGGAGAACCTTCTGAGCTCTCTCTGGTTCTAAACCCTAAACCCTAAACCCTAAAGGGACCCTAAACCCTAAACCCTAAACCCCTAAACCCTAAACATGAGCCGCAGGCTTTTTGCAGTTTGCTTCTTCAGGGGGTTCGGTTTTGTAGTGGGAGGGTTGGAAAGCCCGGGGTCCAAAAGCCATTTGGGTCGTTCTCCAAATTCGGGTTTAGGGTTTAGGGTTTAGGGTTTAGGGTTTAGGGTTTAGGGTTTTGGGTTTAGGGTTTAGGGTTTAGGGCTTAGGGTTCCTTTTATGGTCCTTCTTAGGGATCTAAAGGGTTTCAATAAGGGTGCTATAAGGGCTCTAGGCGGTTTTAGAGGTTCCTTTTCGGGGTCCTTCTTGCAGAGTTGCCGTGCTAATCTCGGGGACCTCAAAGGGGACCGCAAAGTTTAGAGAACTACCCATGAAATGTCTTGGAATCGCAAGTAGGAGTCTCGGCCGTCCGGCGGGGGGGGGGGGTGTACGGGATACGACCCTAGCCATAAACCTACCCATAGGCCCCATCCTTTTTGGGATTACCTAATAGGATCCTAAATATACACAAGGGCGTATGGGTAAACCCTAGACCCTAAAGCTAAACACTTTCCGGTGTCGGTGGCAGAGTCTGTAGAAGCGGGGCGGACCCGACCCCCCAAGTGCCCGCTGAGAGAGCCCTTACTCCTTCATAGTCGGTACTTGAAGTGAAATAGTGGACAATTGGGGGGCATAGGTACAACCTAAACCCCTAGACCCCAAACCCCTAAACCCTAACCCTAAACCCCTTAAACCTAAAGCCGTAAAGCCCTAAAGCCCCTAAACTTTTAAACCAAACGCCCTAAATCCCTAAACACCTAAACCTAAAGCCGTAAAGCCCTAAACCCCTAAATTCCTAAACCTAACCCCTAAAGCCCTAAACCCTAAGGGCCTGGAGGATGATGATGGCTTAGGCTAATAGGGTTTAGGGTTTAGGGTTTAGGGTTTGGAGTTTAGGGTTTAGGGTTTAGGGTTTAGGGATTAGGGTTCAGCTATCGAAAACCCAGGCCAGGGCGTACAAAAGCCCCAAAACAATGTAGGGGCCTCAGTAGTTACAATAAGGGTTTAGGGTTTAGAATTTAGGGTTTAGGGTAATGTAGGGGCCTCAATAGTTAGAATAAGGGTCTTGGGGCATAGTCTAACTTACCTTTCATAAGGATTCCACAAAATACTAAAATTCACTCCCCTATACTATCCTAAAGGGAGGCTGGGCTGGGTCCATAGACTCAGCCATCACAGCGCTAGGCGAATCCTGTCCTCAAAGGGCCGCTAACCGGGTTTAGGCCTTCGGGGGTTTAATATAGGGGCCTGAATAATTAATAGGGTTTGGGGGTTTAATATTATACTATAACCATAACAGGGAACCCCTTAAAACCCTATTCTAATTATGAAGGCCCCTACCCTAAACCCTAAACCCTAAACCCTAAACCCTAAACCCTGAACCCCATTAGGGGTTGGGGAGGACCGGGTCACTTGAGCATCCGATCCTTGGGAGTTCCTCGTACTGGGACAGAAAGGCAGGGGTTCTTCCAAGTAATATATAGGGGCCTTAATAAGTAGAATAGGGGGTTCCTTTAAAGGCATCCTTAAAGGGCTCTATAAGAGATCTATAAGAGGGCTCTATATTAGGGGCCTTGATAATTAGAATAGGGTTTTTGGGGTATAGTATACTATAATTACAATAAGGACCCCCACAATAGTATCGGTAATGATTTAGACCCCCATATTAGCTGAACCCTGGCCGGGTCTGCCGTGGTCTCGTTGACGTTAGCTGTAAGCAACAATGCTGCTTGCAGATCTACCTACAACCCCAAACGGTCCTACTATGCATAGTTTTGGGGTAGAGTTCCCTAAATCATAAGAGTAATTCCTAAAATAGAAACCCTACAGCCTACTAAAAAGGCAGATCGGACCCTTTCGAAGCCTAGTTCTTGTTTCATCCCGGATCTCGAAGTTTTTTTTCATCGCGCGTCCAGGCTGAGGATTGCTTGTGGCCAAGGCGCTTTGGGGGCTGCGGCTCCCCGTCAAGCTAGGGTACATGATTTTGCTTGTTTAACGCCCACAAGTAGGGC